TCCCTGGGCACCAGAGGGCCCAGGTGAGCTCTCCATGGTCCTGGAGAGCTTTTCCTGCCTTCAGAGAGAACTTTTAGATTTGTGATCTCTTGGGGGATATTTTGGAAGATCATCTTCTTTCTAGAAGTATACACATTCTCTGATTAATAATTGCAGTTGCCATTTTTAAATCTTCTATAGATGTTTTCACTATCTTTCTGAATAATCTATTCTGTTCATAGCTGCTAAGATATTCATTTTTATATATAAACAAAATTGCTTGTCCTGCCATTGAATACATTTTTTTTTTGTTTGGTTTTCTTAAAACCGTTTCCTTTTTTTCTTTTCCAAAAAAATCATTTACTTATAAACCTTTAAGCTTCTGTTAATTAAGCACGTATTATTTTTTATTTGGGTAACTCATTAAGTATGCCTGTATTATACAACAGGTCGAATATAGACATAATGAAGACTGTAAGAAAAGGAGTGACAAGTATTTCTTTAATAAAGGAATTATATTTTACATATATTTACATTTAAGTATATGGTGAGATATGTTAGAATCAAGGAATAAGGATCATATTAATATAAACAAGTGTTGTGGACATTTAAAGCATAGAACACTCAGTGTGAAGTGCTTAGGTCCCCACTTATCATGTCTTATATAGTATTACTATGTGCCAGGCACCAATGTAAAGATTTTATTAAGAAAACTCATTTAACTTAATTCCAACAATTTTATGAAGTGAATAACATTATCATTCCATTTTACAGAGGAGAAAAACTGAGGCAGTAGAAGTCATCTCAAATTTACATAACTAGCAAGCAATAAAGCCAAGATTTATGCCCAGAAATTCTGGCTCCACAATCCATGCTTTTATAAGAAGAAATTCAAAACACTAGATTATAATACATTTGGCTTGAGTGATGGACTGTTTTGAGGACCTGAATATCATTTGCTATCTTCTCAAATTATATGAATACACACAATTTTACATATTAATATTTAGTGGGATGTGTGTATATATGTCTTTTGAAATTGTTAATTTTGATTTTTTGTTGTTGTTGGTAATAATTATTGGTGAGACTGACACTGTAAGCACCTGTGGATAGTTGACATTTTTATTTGCTGAGGATTAGTGAAGAATCTATTTTCTGCTATCCAGAGTCTAGGTGGAGGAACATTAAAATAGTGGGAAGTTTAGGTATCGGGAGTAACCAATGGTAGATCTGAAGTCTAATCATATCTTAGATGGCAGAAATCAGCACTGTAACATTTTACTCATGAGCAAACAGTCCGCTCTGTCTTTAGTGATCCAGAAGTGCAACCACAGTTTTTGGTTTAGAACAAAATGTACAAAGTTTATTTTAGTTTTTTACTTGTATTACAGCCCTTAATTCTTTTTGAGCTTTGCTTATGACGAGACTCTACTTCCCAAGTGAGTGAAAGATTAATCTACATTGTGTGCTGTGTCCTAAGGTCTGTGGCTTCCTCTGTTATACCAGCATCTCAACAACCTTTATAATCCTTTGACTGTGTTTTAATGCTGTTGCCCACAAAACCAATTACCACTTATTACAGACACAGTGATATCCTTCTGAAAGGATTCTGTGGTGCCTGCATTATGATGTGATGTGGGAGTCATGGAAACCCTTTGTTATTAAGCTTGTGGTCAGGAAGATTACTCCAGTGGGGCAATAGTGTGTGTTATAGTTTAACCAAAAAAGGGGTGGGGAAAGGAGAGGGTGGAGAAGAGAAAACAAGATGGTAGTATAGGAACACATGAGTGAGTTCTGACCAGTCATTTTAGACAAGTAAGAAAAGCGTAGAGGCAGGGTTTAGATAAGGCATCCAGAGGGCTTAGGGTCTGGCTGCTCCCCGTCCCTGGATGGATCCAGAAAAGCCATCGCCCCTCTATCCTTTCCATCCTATTAGTTGATCCCTGTGATCTTGGGCTTTGTTTTTCTATGAGGATTACTTTTTCCCTTTCATTGATTAGCTTATACAATAATTACAATTTCAGAATAGTTGCTTAATCCTGTACTTGAGTTGAGTAGAGAAATTCCTGACATTAACATGACATATATTAATTAGATAACAAATGAATCCATTTATGATCACCAGAGTGACATGTATAAGGCAAGTCACTTGTAACATCACATCCATATAAAAGTTCCTTTAGAATTGGCTGTCTGAATTATGACCCTGTTGTAAAATGAGTCCTTGATCCACATTTGGCCATGATGTATTTTACTGGGCTTGCATGATTTTTTAAAACTTTAGTTAAATATTAAAATTGGGAAATGCATATGAAAATTAGGATTTTGTTTTCTAGAAATGACGGCATCAGAATACCGGCTCGAGGCCTGCCTTCTCCTTCAGGGCGTCAATCCACTGAAACTGTGTGCTGTCCCTTTACTGGAGTTGTCATCCTCCAGTGGCCCACAGTGTCAGTCAGCCCTTTTCACTCACTGACATTCCCTGCCTTAACCCTGAAAGCCCTTGAGTTCACAACCCCTGGGCTAGAGCTCCATCATAGTCACTTACGGGGCCAAAAAAAATTGTAAGCTTAGCCCACCTTTTGGAGTAATATATAATTACAAGAAAACAGAAAGAGGAAAGCACTGAACTTGAACCACTGCACCTTCCCCTGTGTGCAAATGGCAGAGGAAATATGTCCAGACATAGTTCTTTTGGCACAGCTGATTTAAATGTTGTTAGATAAATTGCCTTTATTATATAAAAGGAGGAATGTGAACTGTTCTTTTCTCCTAAGGTGTTAGCCTGGATCCTGGTTATACTTTATCGGATTTTAGGACATCTCTCACTTTATGTAGTTTTCAACAAGTTGAAATTGAATACATGTAGAATCAAATGGAGGCTGGCTAAGATATTGGGAAATAAGTGACATAACACATCTTTTCCTTGTAAATTAGCGATGCTTCAGCCTGAAGTTATCACTTGAGGTATATCTAGGAATAAAGGTTTGTCACCTGAGACTGCTGTGACTCTAAAAATGATGGCATTAGCTTGTGTAGTTCTGAGAACTACATTAGCTAATGTAGAATAGCTAATGTTAGCTAATGTAGAGTATTTTATTATTAGAGCAAACACAAAACTGGGTAGGGTATTAGTCTGGCAAGAATCTGACCAGAGCATTAGGACATTACTTAAATTACATAGATACATGTTGATATTTTGGGGGAACGCAGTGTTTTCATCATGGACAGTGTCGGGGGATGTTATAATAAAATGTGGGATATTATTCTCTGTAATAATTAATAGGGAATGGAGCCCCACTGCTGAACCCATTTTGGTCTGTTCCTCTGGTCTTGCCTCCTTCCTCTGATTCTCTTTCTAGTTATTTCCTAATAGAGAGAAAGAATGCTGGATTCAAAGATTTAAAATGCCTTCAGAGTTCAATAAAATAAAAGTGATCTTAATAGTACCTTGATAGTGTAAACATTGTCCAGTTCCTTATCGGTGGGGCTCGATTTGGGGTTTATTTCTCATCAGACACAAAGCGGAGTGAGTCAGAGTGGGTGGAATTCTCCTGTCAGACGCTCACATACAACTTCAGTTGTGCCAGATTCTGCCCTCAGTGATGTGAGCAAACTTCAAACAGAAATGCACATGAATAGTTAAAGGCAAATGCTGGGTCCACCTGTTGCTTCTTCTGGGAAGTAATATGCCTGTAATGTTCATAAATTTCATCTTTTAACATTAAATTTACATTATGCTCAAGTTTGACTTTTCTGGGCAGTGTATTCTTTAGTATCTGAAAGAATCTATTCATTGATAAAGAATTAAAGTACTGTTGTATCAACCTACGGTTATCAGCACATTTATAAAGTTACATTGAAATCTTCGTTTTAAACATGATGTTTCTTTGTCCGACTGGAAGTTGCCCTGATCCTTCCCGAGGGCTGGAAACATATCATTGTATTAGTTGATTCTGTCGAAATGAATTGTGTTAGTGTTTACCTTTTGTTCCCCAAGGTGATAATTAAAATAAATTTTTTCAAAATGTTTCCTTTTCATGGTTTAAGATCCTATAGTGACAAAAGTGAAATGAATACAATCATTAGCTTGATAATGAATATCTGAATAGAAGCCCGATTGTTAGATTGCTCATAGCTGATAACATTAAGCCATACCTGGCCAACCCCACATATGTCTTAGAAACAATGAATATATCTCAGTGCATGGACAACTGGAGGAAAAAGACTGTCAAGAAAAAACTATATTACTCATTGGATTTGAGCTTATGACGTATAAGGCCACTGGTAGAATTTATGGTTTCGGTGGATTTTGTCTGAAACTTGTTCTACTATTATTCTTGAACTTTGAAGCAGGTTGTAGATTTTTTGCTGGGACAAAAGAAAAAAGAAAGCATTGTCTGCCCGGTGACAGAATCACACATGCTAAAAAACACTCTCCCCCTCCTTTGATTCCAGTTTACAAGCATTGAGAAAGGAGAAATCCCGAGATGCTGCGCGTTCCCGCCGGGGAAAAGAAAATTTTGAGTTCTATGAATTGGCCAAGTTGTTGCCCCTTCCTGCAGCCATCACTAGCCAGCTTGACAAGGCGTCCATCATCCGACTTACAATTAGCTATCTGAAAATGAGGGACTTCGCTAACCAGGGGGACCCTCCATGGAACTTGCGAATGGAAGGCCCTCCGCCTAACACATCAGTCAAAGGTAAGCTTTAGGCCGCTGTTCGGTCTGGAATGTGGTGGTCGGTAGGTTTCTCTAAGACGAAATGTTTACCATCATCCTTTCTTCTTTTCCTGCATATCAAATCCTTTAAAGGAATACAAATGTGGAAATCTGAACTCTGCATGAGAAAGACCCCGTGTGAAGGTGAAATAAAACTCTTCTTTTTGTATTTTATTTTTCAAAAAGTCTGTCAGCCTAAATATTCTGTCCATTCATATAAGATTTCAGAGAAATAAGAGTAAAATGTCACATTAAAGCCCATCTTGGGTTTGGTTTATGCTCTTCCAGTACACTCAAATTCTTCTTGATGGGTGGAGTAGGGAAGCATTTGCTAAAGGGTAGAGCTAGTATTTTCGGCCTTAAGAGAGGCAGGGAGCAGAGTCCAACTTTAGTAGGCATTTGAGTTAATGATTTTATTGACCAAATCAATGTATATACTGATGTTTCAAATTTTTAATATATATATACCCCACACACACACACACACATATATAGATATGCTTCCTAAAACGTTGTAAATATAGACATGTATTTGGTCCTTAGATGCTTTACGCATCCTTCATTTGATGCTTAGAACTTATTATTGTTAAATATTAGTCTTTTTTCACTCTGATACTTAAGACAGGTATTTTCTTGTGTTTTGGAACTCCTACTATTTTCTGTTATTTTCAGCATTTGAATATGCATGCACATACTTCTTGATGATAAGTTGGCCATTGATTTTCCATTTTTAAGAGCATGTTATTCAAGGCACATTGCCTAGAGGATTTGCTAGATTCTATATCCTGACCTTGCATGTGGCCTCTTGATGAGCATGACATAAAACTAGGCATTTTAGGGAGACGTAAACAATCTCCTCCGAAGGATTAATTACGATGTTTAGTTATGCGATTACACCTTGCCATCTACTTTTGGAAAAGACCCTATTTGGTGCTAAGAGCTGAGATCATATATGTGTACATATATCTGTGAATGTTACTTGCTTGGAGATTGTGTTATGCATGTGAGAGGAGGAAAATTAAAAAATATTTTGGAGAAAATATTTAAATTTAACAGGCTATTTTACCCTAGAGCAATGGTTGGCACACATTTTCTATAAAGGGCTATATAGTAAATATTTTTTGCCTTCAGAGGCTACTCAACTCTGTCATTATAGCACAAAGTCAGCCACAGACGATATGTTAATGAAATGATGTGGTTGTGTTCCAGTAACATTGTATTTACAAATCAGGCAGCAGCCACCAGACTTGTCCCATAGACCATGGTTTGTAGACCACTGCTCTAGAGGGTAAGAAAGACATTCAAAGGTTGAGGAGAACATACAACAGAGGTATTTTTCAAGGCTAGGATGTCAGTATATGGTAGCACAGGACAAATGAACCAAGGCACGTTCATACTGGTTTGTTTTTGTTTTTTATGTTTAAACTCCTCTCCCTTTGAGAATGTAGATACCAATTTGGTAATATACTAAGCCATATTCTAGATACAGAGTTAATAGTGAATTTCCCCAAGCTAGAGATGTTAATATAATCGTAGTAAATGTACATTACATATTCTTTTCACTCTGATTCGCAGTATAGTCTACCTTCATGTTTATTCCAAATCATGAGATATGAAAGGATGAGTACAATGGTTAGAAACCACACAATTTGAAAAATATGTTGTTGTTATTACTGAATTTGAAATAAATTGAGGTACTGGACTTATATTTATTTATGTAATGTAATTATCTTTTGTTTCTGGTTTTGGAAGGACTTTGCCATGAATAGGCTCTCTTGGTGCTGATGGGTACCAGAACAGAAAACTGTGATGGTTCCATTGTCCATCTGTTCTTCCACGATGTTATCACACCCAATTTAACTTTTAGAACCATTGTCTTTGAAAGATGCCAACATACAGATCCTGTAGAACTCTTCCCCCATTTTACCAGGAAGTGATGGGCAAACAACTTTATAGTTAAGTAATTAGCAGATCTAAGGCAAGAACCTAGTTTTCTTGCCTTTATATCTGGTGTTATTTCTGTAACTTTGTGTCATTTCTATAGACAATATCTGTTCTGTATCACTGCCATCAGACACTCCACACAAAATTTCTCAGCTTCAGGCTATGACTAACAACTTCATTTTGCTTTGTGGCCTCAGATCAACTCAACTCTGTGACCACTTACTATGATTAAGATGAATAAAAAAGAAGATAATGCCTGGCTGCTGCCTCTGTAGGGGTGGCAGTCTATGTAAGGGCATGGTGGTGTCACTGAGAAGAATGGGGAGGTCATGACGGATGTTTAGGAGCCTACAAGGAGATAACATATTTTATCATTTAAAAAATTCCATCCAGATGATGGGAGGTGTAGGTGCAGGGATGCCTTTGCTCTTAGTAAGCTGGCAATGGACTAGAAATGAAGATGTAAGGACAGTGACTCTGTACCGTACTCCCTGGCTCTCCAAATTTGCTCTACATGCAATGAGAACTCTCTGTAAGCTGGTTCCCTACTGTAAAGTAGATGTACATTTTATTGCTTTCCTCTAGTTCTTTAATGCAAAACTGCTACTCATTCTGATCAAACATTCATAAACAATAACATCAAAAGAAACTCATTTTAATTTATTAAGGTCTTCTATGTTGTGCCCTTGAAGAAGTTCATGTGGATAAACAAGCTCATATAAACAGCCTGCAGCGTCATGTGATGCGCTGTTCATAATCCAACAATAAAACCACAGACATTATCCTTCAGGCTTCTCCAGCCAGTCTCTTGAATAAACCTAAAGGCATTTGGAAATTTATATGAAAAGTACTTACATTATGTAGGCAACATTTTTTTTAATCTGACGAGTTGATCACGTTAATAATTAAATTTCAAAGCTTAGATGTGTGCCACACAACTATATAGGAATTTAATCATTTTAATTTACTGCCTCAGAAAGATCCTTTACTCTGCCCTGTACAGTATTTGTCACATCTTTTATTAATAGTCTATAAAGGTTGATGAGTTTGTTTTGTGATGCCCATTGTATACAGATTATTACAAGTTATGTTTGCAGAAAGAACACTCAGGTTACAGGGTAGGATATGTCCCAAGTCAATTATTTCATGGAAATGAAATGATATGTTAAGCAATTGAAAGGTAACAGATAGTTTTTTCCATTATTTTAAAAATATCTGTATTGTTATAATACAGATCAAATCTATAATGAACATTATGCATTATTCAAGAAATGACCAGGCCTTCTCAGCAGTGTTTCAGCTAAATAACTGATGATTGTAACCTTTAAAGAAATCTCATTGTGGTGACTGTTGGTAAATCACTTCTCCATTCATAGTAATCTCTATTTAGAGACTATCTAGAAACCATTATATGTTTTATTAATCTTAAAAGCAATAGCTGCTGATTTGACATTTGCTAAAACTAGATAAATTTTCTGTCTTTCTAATATCACAGACTTCAGTCAATTTTAGGAGTCTGTCTGCTGCAACTCTATTAATCCAGGAATATTTACCATTGTAAGCATAAGTTTTATATCAATTTAGACATTGCAGCTTTCAAACAGCAATTTGCCAATGTACATGACAGGCAGCAATACTAAACTATGTAAAACACCAGAAGTCCTTAGCCTTTGGAAGGGAACAGTGGGAGGATATATAAGACAACTGGTGATTAAAATTGACTAAACACATTAGGGATGAACTTTACTATTTTCATAGAATTTCCCTTCATTGTCTCAGGCATCGATGGTGAATTAAGCAGTAGATGCTTCTGAAAGGAAAGACTTGCAGGTCTTTATTTAAACAACATGTTATCTATCCTTAACCAAAGTCCAGACTCTTACTTAAACAATGATATTTAATAGATTTATTTTAAATGATTGTGTAGGGTGACGGAGTGTAGGCTAACTTCTACAATAGTGATTTTCAACTGGTGTGCTGTGAGAGGATTTTAGGTGTGCTGTGAAAATTTTTAAAGATTATTAATTATGGGTGGTGCCTGTGGCTCAAAAAAGGAAGGCACTGGCCCCATATGCTGGAGGTGGTGGGTTCAAATCCAGCCCCGGCCAAAAACTGCAAAAAAAAAAATCATTAATTATTTTTGAAAGACGTTCAAAACACGGTAAGTATGCTTTTTTTTCTCTTCTTTTTGATCAACATAATGTAAGTGTCCCGTGGAAGTTTAACTGTAGGTTCAAGTGTGGTGTGAGATAGGAAAGGTCAAAACACACTGCCACACTGCTCTGGAATAACAGGAAACTCCTACTATGACGGTTGTCCTCAGAACTTAGATAGCATTTTATAAAATAGAATCTGTTTCAGTAGAAAGATAGAGATTGTAAGGCTGTCTAAGTAACAGGTCTTCGTGGCCTGAGCAGCTCACAGGCCTACCAGTTCCTGTTCTGGCATTTTACTGTGTCCTGTCACACATTTAATTCTACCAAGTGGTATTCATGCTTGGGGGCAGGTGTCACTTTCTTCATTACTATAAAACCCTGTGAGATGAAAGTTATTAGAATCAGTGCAAGGCCATGTATACCCAGCCCATGGAATTATTTTTCACTTTTACACAGGTAAAGGGCAGAACCTGGACTGAACCCTTCGTTAGAGGGCTGGGAGGTCGTGTAAAAGATGGAAACTTGGTTCCTGCTGGATTCCTTTTCTGACTTCTGTCATTCTCAGTAGACTGAGGGACTGACTCCCTGCTCTGGGCTGTAGTTCTGTTTGCCTCAATCCAAAGTGGCAGCAACCAATGGAAATAACCATTTAATAGCTGGGCTTCTGATGTTCGTTGCTATTTAATTTGGTAAAAGGTACCAGGTTTATTAGAACATGAAAAAAATATGATATAATTGCCTTTTCTTAAGTATGCTTCCAGGAGGACTTTTTAATTATATGCTATTATTATTTTATATATAATGCAGTTATGACTTATGAAAGGAGCTCATGCAAGACATAACTTCCTTTATTTTACATCCTGATAGACCAAGCAACGTTTA